TCTGTTAATACTTTGATATTTTTCAGCTGTTGATGAAATTACCTTCTCTATGAGTACCACAGTGTTCGGGAAACCTGACTACCAGCGGGCCTTAGAACCATAAAATTGAGTTTAAGAGATGTACCCTCAATAGGAGATAATAGAATGAGTTGCTTATTCATAACAACAGAGACACAAGCAAAACCCATGCATTGAGTCAAGAAGATCCAGCATTCAACATCATAAACTGGAAACAATGTATTATAAATACATCTGTGCCAGCTTAATAGAAGGGGTGCAAGGCTGGTCAACAGATTGAATCTGTTTACCCCTTAAGTCTTTGTCTAAGAGGCCTTCTTTGTAGCCAGATGCGCTTTACATCTTCCCAAGATGAGTATTTCTATCGAGATACCATATCTAGCTTTAATTAACCAAGAGCCCAAAGGCAGGGTTAAGTCAAAGTTGTTTTAGGTCAGAGTTGGCTTCTCCTAGCTTTTGCCTAAAAAAGCGTATCCTACAAGGCAGCAGGACATGTACTGGGTTACATGTTACCAGTAACAGGATAACCTGACCTGACCACAAATAAAATGATGACCTTAGAATAAAAACTATGAAAATAGTTTTTTTTATACTTATGATTGAAGGAAAAAGCAACTCTCCTTACATAAAAAAGAAATATAGATGTCTGGATCAGATGGGTTTGAGTTTTTCAAATCAGATGTAATAGTAAATATCCGTATGATAAATATTGCCAAAAAAAAAGAGTTTAAATTTAATTTTTTTTATTTTATTTAATTTTTTTTTTTACAGGCTTGGTCCAGAAGAGGAAGAGTTTTGAGAACATTTAAGTTTATGTACGTAACAAAAAATATTTGTTTTACGGACATACATGGAAACATAATAAACTTGGATGTTCTCAAAACATCTTGGTGTGGAAGAATAAAAAAAATATTTGTGAATACTAAAAACCCACCAAATTTACGAACAAACTAATTTTATTATTTAAAAAAGTACACTGACTAAGCGAAATAAAGTTCTAGAGTTTTCTGTTGAAATGTTTTACATATTGTATTATTCAGGATATGTTACATTTTGAGATTTCTAGCATAAATTATTTTAAGAATATAATATCTATACTATGGCTCATTCTCGGAGCCACATCTGCAACGCTGTAAATCTTTTAAACTATTATTATTTGTTTACAAAAATTAATGTTTTATAATATAAATTTTTTAAATTGTCAAAATTTTGAAAGTTTATATAAATTATAGATTTTATTAGTATATTCTTATTTTTTCTATCGTAATGTAATCTTTTAAAGCAATTTTTATGATTTAATTTGTAAACAAAGACTTTTTTCAATAAAGTTATTAATTATTCAATAAAGTTATTAATTAATAATTAATCATGAAAGTTAATAAGACTAATTATGTAACAAACATATAAGATGTTTTGGGTTACTATACACAAATAATGCATACAAAGTAACTCGTGGATGAACAGGCACCGCACCTGAGGTCAAGACAGAGCACAAATATATATAGCAAGTTATTAGATATGAAGAAAAGTTTCTAGATATTGGTTTACTAACTCTAATTATTTTCGCTTTAGTTGTCATTTATAAAAACTCATTATTCTTTTTTCTGCTTTAAATACTAAAATTAAAAAACCCACACACTAAACATCGTTAGCGATATTGTGAAGCAAATTCGCTTCCTTGTCATAAAGTATTTTTAAAATTTTTAGTTGATTTCTATCTAGTTTATTTAATTTCTATAGTAGTTCAATGATTTAATTATTTCATTTGTTCATCTTACTAAGAAGAATTGTTTCAAATATGTTAAACTTTTCAAACTACGCGAAGCATAAAACAGTTATTAAAAAAATTAACTTTTTTATTTATAAAATAATTTAGCTTAGATAAAACTATAACTTGTGTTAATTTTATTAGAATCTTGTTAGACTTTTCGGGGCCAGTGGCTATTTTTACTTTAGATGCCTTTGTATGTGCCACAGCGTAAAAATGACTAAACAAAAAAGTCTTCTTGACTTTTTTTAGGCCTAACATTGTGGGGCCTTGGTCTATAGCCCCTTTTAACCCCAACCCTCCTTAATCTAGCACTGGAAATAAGACGCAAGTATATAAATAAAATTTTTATAACACTCTTTATTAAATAAAGATAATTTTACTTAAATAAAACTAAAATTTGCAAACTTTATTAAATAAAGAACATTTGTTTCCTTTTTAAACAATCGTAAGATGTTACTTTATATAAAAAATGTCGCTTGATTTTATAAAAAAATTGTAAAAGAGCGATGTTTCAAAAATATTTGTTCTAAACATAATTTATTTTGCCTTCAGATTTTTCTCTGTTTTATTTTTCTAATTTTTTTATTTTATTTTGTCTGTCATCAGTCCAATTAATCTTTTGCACATTTTTTTTTTTTTTTTTTGAAATGTTCTCAAAACGACTAAAAAATCTGGTCAGTTTTTCGCAAATAAATATTATTTCTGTGGTCAGTAATCGAGAGCGATCGCTCTTGCTTCCCGACCAAGCCTGGATATAGGTTTTATTATACAGAATGAGGTGCTGCTTTAATTATGATGATTGTGAATTTAATAATTGTCTAAAAATTGTTTACTTTAATTAAAATTAAAACTCTCCTGACATCTGATTATTAAAGGAATCCTTTGTACATCGTCATTAGGAATATTACTAGAGCGCTTGCAAGACACCATCTATCATAGAATAAATCGATTGGTTTACATACACACAGCCATATATTGCACCGAAATATACATACAGCCATAAATTGCCCCAATTGCCCCAAACCCTTTTTTCTCTCTCTAGTCAAACTATATTGGAACATAAGTATTTAGATCAACAAAATTATTTAAATGTACTGATATATAATAGATGATGGTACTGAACTATCCATCATAGCTGTCAAATCCATCCTTGTGCATTCATGACCCAAGATCATTTACAGCAACACCTTATAATCTCATCTGATCTTTAAAGAAATTATATTATTTGGTGTACACCCTGATAAAAATAACTTTTTAGAGAATTAGGGTAAATTTGTTTCCCTCTCAATGATTTTTTTTTAATTTTAGGAGTACATTTTAATATTGTAATGTTTTTCCAAAATATATTTTGATGTTTATGCGTAACCATATAAATTAAAATCCACAAAGTGGCTTTACATGTGCAGCCCTCACATGTGCAGCTCTTGGAATTCCAAAGGCTTTACATGTGACTCTTATGTTGTGTTAAAATAAAAATTGGTTGTCACATAATATACTACACAAAATACAATGTGCAAAACATAATATAATTAGAATATATTGTAATAAGAAAATCTACATTAATTTATGATTCAAGCTTTAACAATTTCTATTATTTTCTTATTGATTTGTATAAATAAAATTTCACCTAAGTTCTATTGCTCTTCTCAGGAGCTCTTCACGAATTATTCTAGACTCTGAAGTTGAGAATTCTATTGCTTGAGTAATATTGTTACTATGATAACCTGTTACTATGATAACCTGAACCTTTTTAAAGATGGTCTTATGAGGAAATCCAATAAAGCATTACTTAGTAAAGTTCGATTGCTTGAGTAATATTGCTCTTCTCAGGAGCTCTGAAAAGATTCTTCTCAAAAGATTCTCTGAAGTTGAGAATCTTTTGAGAATTTTTTGCGTCTTGTTACAAACAAATTCATAGCATTGCTTAACTGCCAATGTCTTTTAGTTTTGTTGTTTAAGGAATTGACAAGGTGATGTTGAATAATATTATCTTTTCACCCTTTTAATAATGAATCTTTTCACCCCATTTAAAGACTGTTGAACAAGCCTTCCCAGGAAACAGGTGCGGTTTTTTGTCTTGTATGTCCACACATTAGTATTTTATTTTAGCAACTTGGTCACGGCTGTTTGTAAGTTTTATTATATGTGTTGCTGAAAAAAGTTTTAAAAACAAAGAAAGCAAAACTAACAAAATAGGAAATTAAAATAAACGTCAATAATAAAAAATAATAATAATTTAAATATATTGTGTACTGTTTTTTTTTTTTGTTTCTACCAAGTGGTTGTTATTTTTGGCAACAAAATTCGGTAAATCAAAGCTAAAAAATAAAACAGTTTTAAACATTAAAAAGAATGATTTTCCTACATTTAATATATATATATATATATATATATATATATATATATATATATATATATATATATATATATATATATATATATATATATATAAATATATATATATATATATATATATATATATATATATATATATATATATAAATTGCCGTCTATTTGTAAAATATAATTGTATAATTTAATGTAACAAGTATATATTGTCCCTACAAGAAAACCTCTATGTAATGCAGGCGCATACTTTTATATATAACTTTTTTTATTTGTTTTATCTTAAGTATACGTATGTTTCAGGCTTTTAAATGTGCTTGAATTCTTGGTTACACTGGGAGTTATTGGTAATTCTTTTATTTTGTTGGTGCAAAAGGTGTAAGTATAAGTAACCATTACCAATACCAGTAGTTGGCACAACTAGTAGTTTACAATACTCCTCAGTACAAGTGCTAAAATTTATACTTGAGGAGTAAATTCTGTCTATGTTTAACTTGTTCCTGTAGAAATTTTTTTGTCCTGCAAGAGTAAGCTCGCGAAACTTATAAAGTTTTTTTTTTTTTTTTTTTTTGCATTTTAGATATGTATGTTTCAAACTTATATATGTTCATACTTATATCAAATAAGGATGCTTTTTTAAAAATGTGGTAATTAGAGCCTTGGAACAAAACTTTTCTAATGTTTTCAGTTCTCCATTTAATAGCAAAAATTTTTAGTACTTCCATACTCTAATAACCTGTCTATTAATACTCTAGTTTTATAATTTTTTAGTTTTAGAAAGTATATGTATAATTTATAATAAGACAATGTATAATTTACAATTATATTAGGAAATTTATTATTTTTAAAATGTTTATTCATTTAGCAAATTACCTGTGTCAAATACCTCGTATTTATTTGATGATCATCTTGTTTCCGATGAAAGTGTTACATCTGGATTAACAAAAGACACATTAGCTGTAAATGATCTTACACATCAACAGTTAATATCTAAGTAAGTTGGAAATTTTTTAAAAATAGAAATAATAATGATAAATAAGGAATTGAAGCGTAAATGTGAGTTAAAAGTGTTGGGTGTGGTTGCTGTCAGTAATGGATTTAAGAATGAGTTATTCACGTTTTGAGATTTTTAGTTTAGTTTAAAAAATATATAATATAAAATATTAACAAAAAAATTGTTCTAGCCCTCTAACCCAAATGTAAACAGGTGCTATGATCCCATATATAAGAATAAGAAGCATGACATTATTAATGAGTTTAATTTACTTGAATTTTCTTTCTAATTATTTTATCTAGAATTTTATTTATGTCTTTAACTAATTTTTTTTTCAACACTCATGACTGATGTGAATTATTGAAACATCATTAAATTTGGTTTCTTTCATTTGTGAACAAAGGTTTAAATTCTTTCCAAAAAAAAAAATCTTTCAACAGAACAATTTTTTACTACTAGATAAATTCTGAAGATAGTTTCCTTATTTCAAAACATGTTATACTTTTTTTGATGAAAATTCATCACTGCAAACTAATGTTATATTAATAATTTACATTTAAAAAAATCATTATTTTTGAAAAAAAAACTTCTTTTAAAAAACTCATTATTTTTATTTTTTTACAGCAACATCAGCATAACTGATCGCAGCATCATATAAATCAGAATCAAAAGCACACTATAAAAATCATTATTGCTGAACAGCGTATTTGCAAAACAGCAAAAGTTCATCATAACCATCATAAAAAATTATTGCTAAACATCATCATAGCACAACAGCAACATAAAAATTCATTGTTTTAAAACAACGCTATAAAAATTCATCTTTATAAAACAACAGCATAAAATCATCACTGCTAAACAGCATCATTGTAAAACAGCAACATAAAAATTCATTGTTTCAAAACAGCACTTAAAAACTTCATTGTAATCATCATAAAAATCATTGCTAAACAGCTACATAAAAATTCATTCTTTCAAAACAGCATTAAAAGAAAATGAGTGAATATACTACAGGAAACAAAGTCACTATAGGAAACTCGTGGCGGTTGCGGTGTCTCAATTCCCATCCAGGAAGCTTGGTCATAGATTCTGCTGTTACCGTAAATCAACAGTTCTAGTTTGTTGTGTCACTCTTACAAATTAGACATTTAAATTCACATTTGTAGTGTTTATTCTTTCTAGGGGACATTGTTGTTGACTGGTCCTGGGATATTAGCTTTCCTACTAACATATTATCTGTGGTTTTTATTTACAAAGGTTTCAAACAGGGTAAGGCGTAGTTTAAATTTGGCTTGTTTAACATCAGGTAGACTACCATTAACAGAAATGTTAATGGTAGTTTACCTGATGTTAAACAAGCCAAATTAACTCACAAAATCGATCTGCTACTTCTAATAAGATACTAGATCCAATAAATTTCTGGAAAAAGGAATCTGTTCCTTCTCCCGCCTCCTTTACAGCACCTCCAGCAGTTTTTAAAAGGTGAAATTGTTGAGGTTTCTTTACAAAAAAGTTTTTGTTGTATTTTTCAATTTTAACACATCTGTACGCCGATATTTTGTACATAATATTCAGTTTAGGGTCCTGTAGGTACGTGTGCTTTGATTTAAGTTTACAGGGAATGCAGGGACTTGTCTTTATCTATTTTCTATCACTAACCTCTAGGAAATAAGTTATGTTCAAACTTGACAAGGTAATAGGATAATATTCAAAATAAAAATGACCAATCTTCTGGTTTTACTGTATGGCGTAAGTAGTGTAGTTTATGCATTTTGATAATAATAAAGTATCTCCAGCTGGTTCAACACTTACTCCTAGGGATTGGTGTACCCACTCTGCTAATATAGTTGGGTAATCATCCATCGATGTATACAAGAGATGTTGGTGTGGGTCTTTTGAAAGCATATCGTTATTTAGAGTAAGTACATGGTCTTTTGGCTCTGATAGCTGTATAGTTCTGCCTAACTTTAGACTGCTGATTAGAATGAACATACATTCATTTGGGTTAGTACCTAATTTCTTTATGACCTCTTTGTTGTGCTTGTCATCTCCCTATACAAATATTAATACTGGCCATTCATTGGAAACACAGTGACGCAGGGCATCATAGCATTAACTCTTAGTGGCATATTGTTCTAGGGCTACAGCACGTCTGGTGATTTGTCAGTTATATATTTTCCTGTAGAAATTTCATGTACTCCTGTGATTTTGTGAGCATCCATGCACAATGAACTTGGTCTGTTGCTACTATTTGCCATGTATTGAGGCTATCTACTTGTAATGCTCTGTAAGGTGATACTTTAGTATTCATGGCTAAAAGCTCCTGCTGTTAAGGGTATTCGTTTGGATGTGAGGTCTTTAGACTCTTAGTTGAGAAAATTTAATTGACTTGTAAGAGTAACTTTTTTGGCATAACAATGAAGTAGGGTTATTGTAGTTGATTGAGGTCTGTTCGCATAAACATTTGCCATAAATGTTTTCATTAAATGAATGCGTGTTATGATTGCATGATGTAATTAGGGATAATTGATACACGTCAATAGATTTTACCTTTGTACAATCAAAGACTTCGCTGATTTTATTTTATTTTTATTTTTTTAAGTTGATTAAGGTGCCCCAAGAAGTCCATACGGTCTTATGACAGAGCACCGCGGAAGAGCATTTAATATAAAGTTCACACCTTCTTCCCAACTGATGTCACAAAACTTACCCAGAGGTGGGGTTTGAACCACGGATTTTATGTTTCTGAGGCAAGTGCGCTACCACTGCGCCACGGCTGCTCATAAATAAGCGAAGTTTTTAATAAATCAGTAAATGATTGTTGGTAAAAGGGTCAGACACCATAATATAATAGTTATTTTCCATAATTTGTTTGTTCTGAGGGTTACATTAGGCATGAATCTATGGTTGCTTTGGGTTTTCTCCTTCTGTATGTGTAGATGTGTCATGATTAGAGCTGAGATATGCCCATTTTTGCTTGTCTTTTTACTATTAAGGTATTTCTGGATCACTTGGGGGTCGAAAATGTTCTCTTCTGGTTCCCAAGTATTTTGGTTGGATTGATAGCCTTCCCATTTAACTAGGTATTGTAATTTTCCTAGTTTTGTTCTTTTGTCAACAATTTTCTCTATCTCGAATCGGTTTTTTTTTCTCTATCTTGAATTTTTTTCTCTATCTATAATTTTCTCTATCTCGAATTGGAATCGGGTTTCTTGATTCCGTTAACTTGATCTAGCGGTTTTTTTCAGGGGCGAATGTAACTTTTTTCTGTGCTTTCTGGTTAATTTCTTCAAAACTTAATTCATCATTTGTTTTTGTGGCTTCATTGAGAACTTCGGTATTTAGTGCTATCTCTTATGTTTGTTTTTTCTTTAGGAATTTTGGAGAGTAGCAGGATGACTCCAATTACTTGGTTTTTACTATTTGTCAAATAATTTGGTGATGGGTTAACAACATAAAGCTTAACTTGGTTACACCCATCATGGGTTATGGTAGGGAAAACATTAACATTTTGTTTCTCAAAAAGATTTGTCTCTGGTATAAAGAGACAGTCATCTTGAGTGTGTAAGTCATGCACTATGGTAAGAATGGTTTCACAATTGGATACAGCTTCCATTTTCTTTTTTCACATACCGGGTTCATAATAAGCTCTACAGTCATCTTCTTTGGTGACTCTTGTAAAAGCGTTATATATGTGTCATTTCAGCTAGATTGAGGTGTATTGATTTTTCCTAGACTGCTTACAGGAACTTGAGGATATTGAGAACAGACATGAACCGTATAAATTTACTTGATGTAAAAATAGGGCTGTTGAGCTGTGAAGTTTGTTAAATGCAAACTGTTTCTTGATTTATTAGTTTGGAATTGCCTGTTCTGAGAAAAAGTATTACTAGGAGAGGTCAAGTTTAGGTAGGGCTTTATTCCTTTTATGAATAGGCTCAACTTTGTCTCGTCATCGATACTTAACTGGTGACTAAGTTTATCAAGAGTTTCAATGTAGAAGGTGAGATCAGTATCTTGCGTTAAGCTAAGCATTTCCATTTTTTGGTTTCATGCATTATTTACACGGTCATAATGTTGCTGAAATTGCTCTTGAAGCTAGTGATAATCATTCCTAGTAACAGTTCGGACAGTTCTAAGGAGTTTGCAGAATCAGAGGAGGAGTTGTTGAGAGAGATGTGAGAATTACTGGTGGTATGGTCACTGATAATTCTCACAAGGTTAGGTTAGCATACAGCATGCTTTACCCGATCTTAAACGGCTCATACGAAAATGACAAAGTTAATAAAGTTGGTAATAATAGTTATGGTTATGAGTAATCTAGCCTGAGTAAAATAACAGATAGTAAAAAAATAATTATTTTTTTATGCAGTTGATTTTATTGGCCCAAGCAGAAGTTAAATCTGCTCGTATCCAGGCAGTGTATACAAGTATATACATATGTATATATATATAGACATATACAAAATCTTGGTATACATAAAAAGTCATTAAGTTGTCTTTATAATATATATATATATATATTATATATATATATATATATATATATATATATATATATATATATATGTGTGTATGTATATATATACATATACATATGTATATATATATAGACATATACAAAATTTTGGTATACATAAAAAGTCATTATGTTGTCTTTATAAAAAAGGTAAAGCATCCTTTAACAAAGCAGTTAAGTAGGCTGAAATACATTTAGAAATTAAAGTGTACAAAAACTGTCCCCTCTGTTACTGGAATACCAATCATTGCATCAATAATGTAATGAGTTTTGTGATCGCTCACAACATAATTTGCTTCAATCAACGAGACAGTCAAACTTTTATTGAGATGACCCAGGTCGATGATATTGTTGCTCAAATGATAATGTTGCTCAAAAAATCGGACACACAATTCCAAACAAATTTTACATTCTCTGAACATGTGTTTTTCATCATTAGTACAACTGTTTACTGTTACAACACTTCTCCAATATTTTTTTC